CTTAGTTAGCTAACCATGGCAGACAGCACTGAATGCGAGAGTCTGGGAATGCACTGTTCCAGTATATTATGCAAAATTGGCTTTGCTATTGTTGTACAGTAACGGAGATACACCTGAAAAACAATGAATCTCATCAAAATGTCAATCATACGCCTTGCTTTCATATAGTCACCATGGCTGTAGTCCACAAAGACGTTGATTCCGTGACTCCTTTTAAAACACATCACCTTACCGCCAGCTGAAGACCACTATGTCTGAGGTCCCAGGTGGGAAGAGCAGAACTGTGTACAAAAATGACATAGAGGATATAAAATCAAATCGATCAAGATGCACCAGATGGGGTGTTACGAGTACTAGATTGCACAACTTGAGTAGATTAGATGGAGATAGACAGTACATTAAATGGGTGTGAAAGGATACGAGAAGTAGTACAACAAATAATTTACATTGAGTCACCAATTAGAACGAAATAATGAATGAAGAAGGGTAAAGAGTTGTAAAGATTTAGAGAGAGCGTCAAACACTCAGCAGAACAGAGGGCGGGTCAGTTGTGTACAAGGACAACACAGCAATTCTAAGAGTAGAGTATTTATGACAACTGAAACAGTCAACAACTCTGAAACAGTCAAACCAACTCAATATCAGTTACTCTATACATAATCAACGAGCACAAGAACAAAAATGCACATACATCAACAAACACACCTGGCCACCATGACGATCGTCTGTCACGTCTATATAAAACATCTGAGAATGCTGGGGAATCACAAGTTCTTGTCTGAAATATCATTTGACAGGCCATATGTCAACAATGCAATCACATCTGGAGATGTCTGTTTCAGTTATAGATGGCTCCTAATTCAGAAATGCAATTTTTGGCAGTAGGCTATACTGGCTAGACGTGCATCGTAGTAGACATGTTCAATCATTGTCTGCAATTGTTTGGCCGTCGGGTATCGCTCCCGAGGTGCTGTTAGCACCAAACACAGACATCACTTTGCCTTCTATGTAGCAAACAATGGAAGCATCACGTGGATCAGGGTGTAACTGTAGAGCGATGGGTTTGTGGCGATGTGAAGCTGTCGTATGTGACGATGCAGTTGAGTGTGATTGCGTGGGGTGATGTTGAAATGACTGGTGTTGTGGATAAGCACTCGGCGAGTACGTCAAGGTTCAGAAACAGCGGGCACACCACACCAATGCTAACTGCGATGTTGTGGCGCTGGTGGTTGAAGGTATCATTTGTCATTTGTCCTCTTTGTAGTCTTTATCAAGGTGAGTGTTCTGCGGTCGGTCCAGGAGCCCTTAAGCCATCGGATGACGACGGGATAGAGTCCAGAAGGCCGTGGTTCTGCTCCCCTCTTTCTCTCTTTTCGTTATAATATGTTGTTTGTATTCTGCACCTTTACTGGTGTGTGCATCAATAATAAATATAATGAAAATCACTAAAGTGCAAACCCTCGGCGTACTACGCATGCGCGGTACCGCTAATTGATGGGCTAGATTTGTAGTATGCGTTTACTCGTGGTCTCCCGCTAGTATATAGCTCGCGGAGAGTCGGACACGGGCTAGTAGATAGCACGCGGAAGTCGATACACGCCCTTCGTTGTGACTTCATGTGCCTTCAAGATACACAGAGCAAGCGGACCCCGTCGAGGTAAGCCTGTGCTAATTAGCATATTGGCTTGTTCACTTATTTTTACGAAAATCGCCATTTTAAAAATGAAGCCAATGTAGCGCTGAACCTGTTGGTGTCGCTTTTTGGCCTGTTTGTTGCGCGTGGTGGCAGAAAACGTGGTAACAGACACACACACAGACACACAGACAAACTACTATAACCCTCTAACGCATGCGCGCCGAGGGTTAATTAAATACGGACGTTGCCGGGAGACGTTGGAGAAACAATAGCTCGCGAAGGAGTTTCGCGTCGGCGTCCGCAGCACCGCCCCCCAGCAGTTTATGCATGCGACGGAGAAGTTGCGTGGGTCTCTGATCTCCCAACTCGGTGGAGCCGAGTAACTGCTGGAGGGGCCGTTGTTCGGGGAGGGCAGGCGAGAGAGACCACCACATATAGCCTTGTGTCGAAAATTGAGATTCCGCTGATAGCAGCAAGCCAGTGTATATATTTGCTATAGCAGCGAGTGCTTATTTGTACCAAAGAAACCAACCAAGAAAGTATAGACTAGGGGGACCCGGACCATCGGCGGCAGGGGGGGACCGCGGATGGTCCTGGAGGGATCGATTTTTCTGCTGTGGACGGTCCGGGGACCAACTTTTCTTCCGCGGAAGTTCAGGCCAATTTTCGTGTGACAGAACGGATAATCCGTGAGGATAGTATACTCTTAGTGTGGAATATCCGAGGTCCGGATATTTTTATCTCTCTCATAAGAAAAGTTCTGGGCATACGGTTGCGCATCTAAACGCGAGGGAAAATCAAATGTTGGCGCGCTTCGCTGACTCGCGTGTCCTTGCTGTCTTGACCGTAATCTCGTATATATACCGAATTGAATCTACACGACTGTACTCCTTCTTCTCGAGACATTCAGCGGTTGCGCGGGTCGCGCCCGCGTCCAGCCCTTCAACGGACAGTCTTCAATAATACGGGTCTCACACTCTTTCCAGACTTTTACTTTTCCAGTCCGCTGATGACAACGCTGTCATCGCATTCTGTAACGTTGAAATCCCCCTTGTGCACATTTAGCTGTCTTAGTCTATATAGCTCATTTTTCGGTTCATGATACGTTGTGTCTCTCTACTTGTACTGTCGTCGTAATAAATAATATAACACGACATTGGTCACCAACGACGTGAGCTAAATGTCTGTCGTACGCGAAGCAGGAGCCGTGGTCGCCTTAAATCTCAAACTACCCCCCTTCTGGCCGTCCGACCCGGTGTAGCGGTACATTTAACCCCCCCGAATTTTTATCCGGCCTTATTAGGAGTGTCGAAACGCAGGCAGTGTGTTGTTTTTGAGGTTCTGTGCAGTACTATATCAAGTGGAAAAAATAATTTCCTCAGAAGTGAAGAAGAGCTGGTGTGAGACACAGGCTAGTACGACAATCTAAGGCATATAATATAATGGATCATAGCACTAAAAAGGGTGGAAACTAGCAGTAATCATGCAGCAAATAGATGGCATTATCTATATAGTTCTAAACAGTGTCATGTGCTTTTGTATGTTGGCTAGTGGAAAAAGAGATCACCTGCTGAATTATACATTCGACCTGCAGGAATTCTGGGCTGCATGTGTTCCAGACAGCACTAAGTATTTGGCATTCATATCAAAATACTGTGGAAATGAAAAACACTAAAGTCCAAACCCTCGGCGAACTGCGCACCGTTAATTGATGGGCTGGGGGGGTATCAGTAGGCGTTTCTCCCGCTAGTAGCTCGCGGAGAGTCTGGCACGGGCTAGCTACAGTAGTTAATAGCATGCGGGAGTCTATACACGCCCTTCGTTGCGACTTATGGTGCCTTCAAGATACACAGAGCGAGCGGACCTGGTCGGAGTCGCAGCCGCGCCTCACATTTTGAACGCCTATATACGCATGCGCACAGCTAATTGATGGGTTGGGCCACGCAACCCGTGCCACGTCTCTCGTTCTCGAACGCAGTCGTTTCAAGAGAATCGCTTTATAGGTTTTCAAGCTCGCGTAGTTCTAAAGACGTTGGTATCGATCACGGGCCGCCTCGTAGCCTGTAGTGTGAGAATAGCTGCTGACAGACAGACAGACACACACACAGACAGACTACCTTAACCCTCGCTGCGCATGCGCGCCGAGGGTTAATAACTTCTGAACCTGTGCATGGCCGTTGTTTGTTCTTCGCAAATATATACAGTGCATATAATTTGCTAATACTGTGTTACATCTTTCAGTGCCCCAGCCAAATGTAACCATCACTGCCAGTCGTCCTGGACACCTCTCCACCTATGGATCATCAGTGAGCCTCACTTGTGAGGCAGTCCTGAGTCCTGAGGTGGACAGTTTGCCTCAGTCACACTGGTGTTGGGAGGACCAAGGATCAGATTCAGTGAGAGATCTACACAGTGGTGGAGGCTGGGGACACCCACCAGCACTCTGACCATGACTGGAGTGACTATGAGAGACCAGGGAGAATGCACTTGTACTGTGAGGGTGGCAGAAGAGGGCAATGTTCTTGTCCCAAAGTCCTTCCCCTTTGCTGTTACAGGTAAGTAGTGAAAATGATTAGTAACGAGACATGTACTTAGTGGTCTCTATTTATTGCACATGAAGTTGATTGAAATGATATTAACCTCTTCCTTGTAGCTATAGACATATAATAATTATATTGTGTTCTGTTAGCTACAGAAGATAGTGCTGAGTGAGCGAGTGCAATAATTATTATTGTCAAGCAGAGTGGAGCCTAGCTACTCAGAATATGTGGTTTCTATTTTGGGATGACGTCCATGACAGCACGGTTGCATGTGAAGTTAATATTGAACATACTGTTCATTAGGTGCCTCTCACGTGGGCTTGCAAACAATCTGATGCCAACCCATGCGCAGTGGAATCTCGTTAAAGTGAACTCCAGGGGACGCCTTCACAACTCAAAGGATAGTTTTATCGAAACAGACATCACGGCTGATACTCACGAAGAAGAGCAAGAAACTTCACCCCTAGCCAATCCGTGGTCATATCCTCAGTCAAGGCAGCCCCACCAGACATTTGGCGAAACGCTATGTCATGTACATAGCTCTTTTAGACTTCTCCTTCTCTTCCACTGCCGTTATAATTTCAACTCTCTTCGCCAGGGGTAATGACTTATGGCTTTTCGAAGTGGCGGCCATGGTAACACGACTCATGAAAGATCGCGGGGCTGCACACCTTTGCCACACCAAGTTGTAGCTATACCGATGGTTCAAACCGGTGTGCACCCATTTCGAGAGAACGCAGTTTTGCTCATTATTAACTGTGCATGCTGTGCTGTGTGTACTAATGCTTTGCACTTGTCAGTCTTCCCACTCTTCCTGTTGGATATGTACTGTATTGCTTATTGTGTATTTGGTCATTTGGATCTGTACTGTATGCATTATGCATGTATGCACTGTATGTACTGTATGTACTGATCTATGTTGTAGGCACACATTCGCTGGTCGGTCATCCTTAGAGCATGCGTATGTAGTCTTGTGTAGTCATCATTACACATGCACATTTTGTAACAGATAATGCCAGACGTTTACAGAGAGGGCTGCATACACTACACTTCCCACTATATATGAATTATTGTGGTCATATTACTAGGTAGGCTAATAACATAATGAGTAAAACCCGCCTGCCCGCATCTTAACTTGAAAGGTGTCACGTGTTTGCTTTGCGGGACCACAAAATATGTGCGTAGTAACTGATGTTTCATGTTCGTAGTATAAACAGAGCCTAAAAGTATGGTTTCTATGAGGCTCTAGTTGGGACTTCAAACTTAGTTCATGATAACAGGAATTTCGTACAAAGCGTGTTCGCTTTTACGAGATTCCACTGTACATTCATTTGTAAGCGGTTATGTACATAGGCAGCTCAGATTACGACAAGGAGGGATATCCACGAGAGAAAGGCTTATATACTTCTCACGAGTCCGAAAAAGATTGGCAGCCACCAGCACCACTGGAAATATCTCGAGCTTTAGCGCCATAACTGTTGTTTGCTGGACGGCGACAGATTAGTAGGGGTCGGTCGACTGCCATTACGCACCCCGCCCCCTCCTAACCATGGCGTAGTGCTGATGCGCACTATTGACAAAAAACGACGACTGAACCTTCAATAAAAGCAGAGGGGGTGTATGACGCCAGTGCACCGACAGACTGCTTCCCCTCTAGCTACTGTTGTGAGTGGTGGGGGACGTCGTAAGTTTCCTTCCACTGGCCATGTCGCCATAGCTGGCATGGGCCAAGGCTATCTGGCAGCCTTTACTGAGTAAGTAGCTAACGATGACAGTTTGTTCTGTGCAACTTTTCTTGTGTGATAAAAATATACAATTCCTTGATGATTACAAGAACTTGATATTCACCATGAAGAGGATACAAAGAGAAACATAATTATATAATGCTTGTGTGCTCATAAAAGTCATACACTGAAAATAAAAAGTCTCCTCCTGATTTTCTCAACTACACGTGAGGTACTTGCTGCATTTCAACAATGCCTGGTGATGGATTGTGTTGAGGTTGCTACATACAGAAAAGAGTGGGAAGATAGCTGTAATACATAAGTCCAGACAAACTTGGTCCCTATGGTCCCTATATACTTTATCATCAGCCAGTTTTTACTTTTGATGTGGGCAGGCAGTCATTACATGTGCGTTAAAAGATGCATGCGTGTGTGCACATGTGCATGAGTGTAAAGGGCATGGACTTGTGTACACTTCACGGCAATGCTGATGGTAATATGAAACAAGTTAATCTAGTTTGTTTGGCCTATTATCATACACTGTATGATAAAATACAGTAGGTTATTCAGCCTCACTGTTCTTCTGGAGGAGATATCGGGTCTGGTTGATCTCCAGTAATAAAACCATCCTATGGATGCAAACGTGCTCCCCACACCACAGAGGAAAAGAAACAGCAGTGGTGGAAGGGTTGTGAAGAGGAATATGATGACAAGTTCATCTGCAAAGGAGCATACATAATGTGTCTATACCACCTGCTTTTTGGAGCTCACCATCAGTATCGCAGTTGGACGCTGAAATGAAACAAATGAAAGATGAAATGTTTCTTCACTCAAAATAGTAACTGCAGATACAGCTAATATCAGTTGCTTTCCCATAATAAAGTCCGATAGCTAGTATTACTACCAACAGTGGGAGTAATCAGAAATGCCAGTAGAGGGGAATGAAATAGCTACCCCGTCCAGGTGCCTTAAAAAAATGTATGTATGTATATCGTTAACCTACTCACTGGTACAGTTTCGTGCGGTAAACATTCCAGGAACGTCAGGGAAAAGGATCTGTAGCTAGCCCAAGCAACTGACCGTGATAGCTAACTATCCACGGCGGCGTGGGGTCGAGTAGAAACTCACCGTTAGCGTATCCAAATAGAAAGGTAACCACCAATATAACAGAGGGCAGAGGTCTAAGCGCCATCCTTACTTGTTGTCTAATCTCGCGGCACAGCCACCAAGACACCAGAGACGTCCGGTGTGTGTGTGTGGGTGTGTGCTGACTCTGCACTGCTATGCCCCACCCTCCTCTCTCTCGGACAAACCTCTGCGCTTGCGCGTCATGAATTCAATTACAATCTCAGTTTTCTGCTCCCCCAACCCTCATAACGGTCTGGCTAGCTATGTGAATAAACCCTAACTATGTGTCTTTATTTATTGCACATTGAAAGCCAATACTGTTGAAATATATATATATATATTATATATTAACCTCTTACTTGTAGCTATAGACATATAATAATAATATTATGTTGTTTAGCTACTAGTGCTTCAGTGAATTAAAGTGCAAACACTCGGCGGAGACGCGCGTGCTCGCTAGAGAAGGGTTCCGTGTCAAAGCAAAGTTGAGGAAGACCACCTATATAATATATACACAGTCTTCTTGCTGCAGAGGAGGTAAGCATGCTACCAAGTGAGGCACATCTTTCGCTGTGCATCTGCCACATTTTAGCTCAACAATAGGCTTGGTACGGGATTAGAATATCTTGCGCATGCGCAACCGGTTGTGCCAGACACGCGCGCGGAAGCATAATATACACGCATATGTTGTACTACCTACTCGTGGTCTAGCTACACTACTAGATAACATGCGAGAGTCGATACACGCCCCACATTGCAACCTCTGGTGCCTCCAAGTTACGCAAAACAAGCGCACCTCCGTGCTAGAGAGTGCGCATCTCGAGGTAAGCTATTGTTAATTGCATATTGGCTCGTTCACTTGGTTTTCACGCTGTAACTCCAGAACGCAGCAGTTTCAGAGAAAACCCCACATACATTTCGACCTATACGCGACGCTGAATTGTTTGTGGAGCTATTCATGGCTCGCAGTGAAGGGAGTTTGGGTGCGGACAGCTAAAGTAACCCTCGCTGCGCATGCGCGCCGAGGGCCTTAACGAGTGCAATGATATTATTGTCAAGCGAAGGAGCCTAGTTACTCAGGAATGTGCGGTTTTCTATTTGTCCACGACAGCACTGCCTCTCACATTGGCTTGAAAAAAATCTGATGCATTCATTGTAGTATTCAGACTCATGTACAATCATTTGTAGCAGGATTGCGCATCTAGTCGTCCTGTTTCAAAGTGTTTTATTGCCAAATGGCTTCTTTATATGAGTGGTCCAAAGTTTTTAGCGTTAGTGCTCACATGGAGCCTCCTATAAAAAGCAACTTTCACACTGCTCAACTGAACAATAGTCACACTTAAAAAAACACTGAGATGTTAAAAACACAGACAAAACATATTTTGAGATGAATAAAATTTATGTTTGTATCAATCCTCTTTCTCATGATCAATGTCCCCAACTTGTTCCTGCTTAGGGTCAACTGAAGTAACTTCTTGAGAGTCAGGAGTGAGAGGGGGAGGGGCACTGGGACTGGCAGCAGCAAGAGAATAAGGTGGTGGTACATCTATACCATCAGGGGGCATCTATGTGTGGAGTATAATTGTGATAAATCTCAGAATTCTATAAACAGCCTTACAGGAGGACCACTATTAATAATATTGCCAGGAGCTCCAACTTGTTGAGGGTCGATAACCTCGACAATGGTGGGGTCATTGTTCCTGCGCCAGCGGGTACCCCAGCGGTGGATACAGGTGACCAGCCAGGCCACAGTACAGAACGTACAGCAGGAGCAGCAGTAGACACACATTATAATGGGCATCACGATGAAGAGGGAGACAAAGAATGCAGCTACGTTTGCAAATGAAAGATAAAGACAAGAGTATAAAATAACGATCCTTGATATCATACAGTAGCGTGTCTAAAAATATGTGGTTTCATTTCAACGCCTAGGCATTCTGCTGTGAAGGATATGGGCTAGATTCCCTCTCGTTGACTAAGGGTATATATTATTTATACACAACTTACTGTCATCAATATCTCCATAGCGTTGGTTTTCACACTGATAATCATACTCGTAATCATCATAATCATCATAATGATCAGCTACAGTAAACAACAGTTATAGTTGAAAACTGCACATCAGCAAAGAGTAACTTGTTTCATCATGCATTGAAACCCCGTTGTTAACAAGATCATAAGAAGATCATACAGTTTAGTAATAAAATAGCTACCCTGTCCAGGCGTCTTAAAAATTTATATCTTTTACCTACTCACTGGTACAGCTTCGCGCGGAAAACCTCCCAAGAACGTCAGGGAAAAAAGATCTGTAGCTAGCCCAAGTAACTGACCGTGATAACTATCCACGGGGGCGTGGGGTCTAGTAGAAACTCACCGTTAGCGTATCCAAATAGAAAGGTAACCACCAATACAACAGAGGGCAGAGGTCTAAGCGCCATTATTATTACTTGTCGTCTAATCTCGGCACAGCTACCAAGACACCAGAGACGTCCGGTGTTTGTGTGTGTGGGTGTGCTGACTCTGCACTGCTATGCCCCACCCTCTCTCGGACAAACCTCTGCGCATGCGCGTAATTATAATCTCCGTTCTCTGCTCCTCCAACCCTCATAACGGTCTGGCTAATAAACCCTAACTATGTTGGATAGTCTGGGGTCCCTGGTGTAATGGCCAGCAGAGGTCTCTTCTCAACAAGTCCTCCCTATCTTTTGGTATCAGCAGATGACGAGGGCTCTGAGTCCTCATCTTCATCATCTTCAGCATCTCTCCTCACATCAGATCCTGTTGACTGAGCCATAAGAGTGGGGCTGTGAGTCTGAGAGGTTGCTCAGGTTGTGTTGGGTGGACATGACACTTAGAAAATCCCCACGAGTCCAGCCATAGGCCACAGCATTCAGGAATCCTTGCAGTGGGACTAGTCCTGCCTGCCTAAGAGTGTAACACAACGGACAAAATAATGTTCAAACTTTAGTTCACCTCAAAAAGCAGAAATGTGTTGATGCCAATCATGACTTTGTGATCTGTCTTTTTGACGTATGAATAGTTTGTATGGAAATCTGTGATGTCTATCACAATCCCTACTATTCCAAGAATGAAAGCTGCATGAGTTAGAGTAGCATTTGTGATTACAATGCATGCATCTCATAAACTAACTGGTAATTCCAGTAACAAAGTATATGGAGATGAAGAGCAACACCCTCTTTTCTGCATCGTATTGTCCTTCAAGAACCATAGCCTGGGTGGCTCTATATGCAGCAGAATGTTCATTCCTCTCTATGGAGATACATTCCCACTCAAATTTAACCCTTTGGGCGCCATTTACATATATATACATATATGCACAGAGCCTCCATAAGTGCATAAGAATTTATATATGG